GACATCCACCTAGGAAAGACTGGAAGAATGGGTGGGAAGGAACTGCCATGATCTAAACTCCCATATAATACCCTCAAAGTGGGGCTGGGGCTATCTTAGGCTTGGAGAGGCTGGTACCTCATGTGATGTATGGTGGGGGCAGAAAGTGATGGAAGATGATGGGCAGTGGAGCTGTATGTGCCATGTGGCATGTGCTTCATCCCTCTAAGCCAGTCCACCACCCTCAGGTGCTCACCTACAACCACTTTTTGAAGTGCAGCTCAACTACCATCCTGGTTGGTCAAATTCCTGTGCATGAAATGGAAGGGGGCACCATGTTGTCCTCAGCCTCAGGGCGGCAAAAATGTGTTGGGCCATCCATGCCTTAAAGAATACTATTTAACAGTTCAATCCCAAGTTCCTCTAATGACTCCACTCTTTCTACATTCATGGTATGTCACCCAGAGGCCTCTAACTTACAGAAGTTCAGAGCAGACACGAGGTTGGGATTAAATGGTCAGCACCTCAAGATTAATAGTAGATATGAGGCATTGCCAGCAAGCACAGCCCACATGGGCGGTCATGGCAGAGCTGAGGTGATAGTTGGAATTGCATGGCACCCAGACAGTGGGAAATTGCTGGCCTTATTGCTTGCCTTGCTTTTAGTCAGAAAAAGGTTCAGTTTGTACATGTAATAATTCTCAGGCATATGTGGCTTTCAGCATACATGTAGTGTGAACCAAGTTCTCCCCTTTCTTGCTCACATGTTTGAACTTACACAGCACTGTGAAGTTGGACATGCCGGATTTCCATGCTCAAAGACATGCCCTCAGTAGCCAGAGTACTTAAAACAGCAATCATTGGGCGGCAAAAACTGTCTCTAGCTATGTTTGGATAACAACATTGTGTTTTAATATATGAATCTCTTAGTTTAACTCGAAAAAAAAATTGAGATTGAAAATTGCTGTGAGCCTCCTAATGAAATTTAGAAATGCCTTCGCTGTGGAGATGCTAGTAACTTCTCACCATCATACTCCCTACTGTGGTCAAAGTAAGGAAACAACAATCCAAATATAAGGCCTTGAAGCAAATGAATACTGGACACAAATCAGCTTCATCTACAAGTTTTAAGGAAATGGGTGGAAATTGCACAAAAATGAGGCAATTCTTTGCAGCATATTAAATACAGAAATTCTGAAGTGGGTTTGGTTATACTGTACATTCTTTTCTTTTCTTGTCTTGCTTGTTTCAGTTGTACTTTTTAAAGGTGTAAATACATGGATCAAATCATAATGTATAAGGATTTGTTTTTGTCAAATATATAAATGCTGATGCTTCTGGTCTTCTGAAAAAATGTATACTGTGGTCTATCTAAGAGCTTAATAAAACGTTTTAAATGTTCATTAAATGGCAAATAAAATGCATATTATAACAAGAAAATGCACACATTTGACAATAATAATTTCATTAACTGCTGGTTTCAAAGAAAATGGCTGACCTGGTTGTAAGGTTAATAGAGGAAATCGTGTCTGTTTGCATTTTTACAAGTTGTTTCACAGAATTAAATGAACAACTCTGGAGTGTTCGACTCTTGCACATGTCTTCATTTTTGCCGTGTGTCAAGTTAGGTCAAAACAATTAATTATTTTGAAGGTTTTATTGCAGTAGTGCAGACAAAATAAGACTAAATGAGGGGAGTGCAGCATGTGATACACGTTTCGGGTCAGCTTCGCACGGATGGATGCGAGGACACACAGGCAGCGAGGCTTGTGCTGTTGCTTATTTGGTCATGTTCTTACAACACCAAGCAGTGATGAGGTGCCTTGTCGGTGCCTCTGACATGTGTTAGCCTAAGTGCAATGCAACATGGAACTTGGATCATGTCCTAGATGGAAGGAGGGCAGTACTGTTTCCTTCCTACGTACTTCCACCTTGATTTTACCTTTGTTTCAAGCTGGACCTCATTCCTATTAAGAGTAAACCTCCAGTACCTGCCAATCATGATGTAGACAAAACTGAAAGTTTCAGCATGCCTGTGGGAAATTTGAAATTTGCAGAAGTAGAAAAATATATATTTGGAAAATAGACTCTTTAGGATCATCCCACCCATCCACCCCCCCAAAAAATTGAGGGTGAAGCAGAGAGATAGATGAATATGGGGTACAGCCAGATGAGGGTTGACCATGCTCAGTGATCATGGGATGTTGCCCATGTGTTGAAAAACAGAAATGGCGAACAGAGGAATGCAGAAATGGAATGGGGCAAAGGCATGACCAGCCAGCTAGAACTGGTGCATTTTGGCCACACTGCTACGTTTTGTTGCAGATCCCTGCAATGTGTCTTTCCAATCAATTTTTGTGACTGCTTCTTATAGGAACAGCTGCTGGGATCTTTTTGTGCTCTTTTAAAAAAGATTATCCAACCTTTCTGAAACATTCGATCATGTTTAAGTGTCTGAATACTCCCATGTCTAACATGTTTTAATCAATTTCTATTGATGCCCACTTCCTATTTTTCCAACCAATGGTTCTGAAATTGGATTTTCTTCTATTGAACATCTTTGAGATCCATGGGGTATATTTCTCCATGGGGAAGAAACAACTTACACTTCATATTTATTTAACATGCAGAACAACACTCAGGGCAGCTTAATTAACTAACAAAACATATTATAAAAACCAACAGCAAAGCTGGAGACAGGATCGCATTCAATGAAACACTCTGAAAAATTGTACCCAGGGAAAAAATAGAAAATAATGCTTACACTTACTTCTGGCAGAAGCAATTTTTGCTGTTTGCTTTATGTCAAAATGATGATGACGATGATTTGTTCTTGTTTTTAGCTTCCACTGGAGGTAAGAAGTCTGCAAGTGAACTTTCCGAAAGGACTAACCAGAGCAACAAGGTGCCCCTGGATTTCCAGCAGGTTGTCCCTCTGAAGGAAAGGATGGCTTTGTACCAGGCAGCTGTGTCCAAAGTAGAGATCAGCAACTCCTCTGCTAATGTAAGAGCTCCATGTTGACCGTGAAATTAGTTCTGTTGTGTGCTGGTGGTCTTCATCCTATACATCCACACCATTGATTCAAGCAGTGGTGATCAAACAATAAGATAATTATGGTCCAGCTTACCTTTCATTTTTAAGTTTTGTGTTCACATGGTAAGAAGAAACAATGTTATGCCTGATGCATGTTATGCTTTTTACACAAACTAGGCGTGAACAGGTAGAACCTGGTTCTTCGGTCCACTATCAGCTTACTTTATGCACTTTGGCTCTAATGTTTCCTCTTGGGCAAATTGCTGGGGCATGTAGCTTCTCACCTCCAGGGATTTCTGAATGAGTTGAGAATTTAGATCAGGGTGGGCAAGTTCAAGAGGTCCTGGACCCATTACCATTCCATGCATCCCTTCACGCAGAGGACATGGTCTTTCATAAAAAATATAAACCATTTTTGTCCTGACCATGATGCAAAACAGCAAGGATTAAAGCTAGCTTGTTTGCAAGCTACATTTGACCCTTTTAGGAATCCTCTTCACTGGGGGATGGCAGGGACTGCATGCAGCTTGGAGGATGCATGCCACCCATTCCTACGTAGATCTATTTCAGCTTGGCTTTAGACCTCATAATAGGACAGAGCACTTTGTCTGCTGTGGTGAACAGAGGCCAATGGGAACTAGACAAGTGGATTATGGCTCTGTTGGCTCTGCTGGAACTTTCGGCAGCTCTTGACACCATCAACCATAGTGATCTTCTGAGTGGTCCATCTGAGATGGAACCTGGAGGCATGGTTATATGGTGGCTCCAGTTCTTCTCAGAAGGGGTGCTGAGAAGCTCATGCTCAACCAGGCCTGTGGTGTCCATCAGAGCTCCATCTGATTCCAGTACTGTCTATCATATGCATAAAGCCCTGCGTGACTGGGAGCAAGGCTACCTGAAAGACCACATCATCCTGTTTCAGCCTGCCCGAATCTTAGTATCTTTGGCAGATGCTCTTTTCTCAGCCCTGCTGCACCTGTAACAGAGGCCTTCTTGGCAGGTACTCCCCAACTCTGTGGCTCCCTGCTGAGACAGCTATTCTGGCTGCCTGCATGTTGGCCTATAAGCAGCCAGAAAAAAAATGTTTTTATGCAGGCCAGGCAAGCAAGCTGGTCTGTTGCTGAAGGGACTTTTCATTTATTTTATAGCATTTTATTGCGCTTTTCAGGCATCAATTTTCATGTTCTCTTTTAATTAAGGTTTAGTTTTATTATTATTAACTCTCTTGAGTGTTGCTTTTGGTGGAAAGAAAGGGTATTAATTAATTCATTAATTAATTAACTGTTGAAGCAGAGGTTCTGCTGAGATGGAAGGGATTTTAAGATGGCCACAGACTAACTTCATAGTTCTATTCCTGACTCCCCTCCACCCATGAAGGAATGTAAAGTTTTCCCCAACTATAGTAGAAGCATCTGTTCTGGACTTAGGGGACCCACGACTAGCAATACCTGAAAGGAACTAGGAATGGATTGTGGACTAAATTGGAAGGAGTAAGAAAGGTTTATTGTAGACCCTGCTGAGGGATAGCAAATATGATTAGGAACCAAACCCTTGGGGCTTGCTCTGAAGGTGTAACTAATTCCTGGGTTGCTTGGGAAAATAAATTGCTCTCTGCGCAGATAATAACATGGGTCAGAGGGATCACTGCTGTGCACCCACTTGGGTGACTATTTTCCACTTAGAATTGCTGACTTCCACTCTGTCAGTTAGAACTTCTGCTCTAGACTTAATCTCTGTTTTGCTGTACTTGAGAATTCACACTCAACACACATAAAATAAGTTTAGAATTGTGTTACTTACCCACACTGGGCAAATGGTAAAAGAACGATCATAGGCATGATCAAAATGATGCATTTTGTGGCTCAAGGGGAATCACCTACATTATGTATAGTTAAAAGTTAAATATTTAGAAGTGGAGGACAGTTTTTCACAGGGTGGGTTGTTTTGTACAGTGTGTTACAGTTTAGCCTTTAGACAGTCGCTGGACATGCACTGGGCAATCTGGGGCATGGGGTCTGTGGAGACCTCCCTTGTTACAATCTCCCAGCCAGCCAGCCAGCCAGCTATGATGTGGGGTGGGGTGGGGTGGGAGGAAGCAGGAATGGGCAGAGGCCTCCAAACAGTCAAGGCCACTGTGCCAACCCCTCCATCAGAGCACGAGAACCTAAATGTTCTTAGAGCCTAAATGTTCTTAGACCCTTTTGAGGGCATCAGGCCAAGTGAGAAGACCAAACAAGTGTGATCCGCCCTTCCTGCCATCTAGCCTGAGCACCCTGAGGGTGGAGTCAAGTCCTTTCCAAAAAGGAGGGAAGGAGAAGAAGGTTTCCACTTGTATTCAGCTGTTCATACGGGCAGACGCTACTCCCTCATATTAAAAGGATTGTTACTTTGAGCAGCCTTCCATAGCCTGGTGCACTTCAGAGGAATTTGGACTGCTACTCCCAGGATTCCCATCCAGCAGGGCCATTGCCTGGGAATTCTGGGTATTGAAAGCCAAAAGTGTCTGGAAGGCACAAGATTGTAGAAGGCTTATTTAGAGCTCACTAAAGGCCGTGCTTCAAAGGGTTCATCTAGGTCCACTGGAGGTGGGGTGGGGAAACCTGCTTCCAGCAACATTGCCAGCATGCCGATGACACCCAGTTCTGTTTCCCGGTGGATCTGAATCAAGAGGGGCGCTGCATGTTCTGAACCTAGATGCAAACTTGTCTTGAATGAGGACTAGTAAACTGAGAATCCTGGTAAGACAGACACCCTGGGAGCAGGTGGTTCCCAGGTCAGGGAACTGGTCTGTTGGTCGGATCAGGATGGGGATGCACTCCCTTTGAAGGAGCAGGTAAATCAGCTGGGGATGCTCCTGGATCCATCTTTGTGCCTGGAGGCCAAAGTGTCATAAGTGGCCCAACTTGAGTTGGGCTGCCAAACACTCCCATTCCTGGGTAGGGACAGCCTTGCCAAAATGATCCGTGCCCTAGTAATCTCATGCTAAGTCTGTACTCTGCAGGGTACTGCAATGTACTTGATGTGGGGCTGCCCTTGAGCTTGGTTTGGAAGCTGCAGCGAGTGCTGATTGCAGCAGCGGGTCGCTCTCTGCGACACTCAGCCCTGTTCACTGCACACCTTTGCTAAAGGAACTGTCCTGGCTACTTGTTGGCTACGGAGCCACATTCAAGGGTATGGTGAACCTTGACCAAGCCCTGACCACCTGGGATGAGGATCCTGAACAGACCATGTCCTGCTACCACAGATATACCAGTAATTCCATGACCAGCAGAATGTCGCCTCACCATGTCTCAAAGGCAGACCCTCAGTGGCGGTGCCCACACCTCAGAACCCCCCATCTCATGCAGTTTGGGGGGCAGTAGTTATGGAGACAGAATTATTCTCAGTCTAATAAATAAGTGTAATAGATAAGATGCTGCCCCAGCTGGATGCTGTGCAGTGGGTGCTTTCATACAGTTTTATAATCTTCTTGTTTTTGATGGTGTTTTTAAAAATACATTTCTTGTTTTACTTGAAAATGCTTTTAATAGTATTTAATATTGCATTTAAATGTGACTTTAATATTGTAAGTGAACTTGTCAAAGATTTTTACTCTTTACCAGCATAAATAAAAATATTAATAAATAGGGAATATGGAATACAACATTAAAAACCTGTTATTTTTCCCATGGACTTTTGCAACTGCCTTCTGTGGGGTCAAATATGTCAAATTAAACACTATGCTTATAGACATTTCTGGGGTGGAACGAAAACTTGCCCCCTAGCCTTGAGAATGGGTGGCTTAGCCTCCCACAACAACCCAGTGGAGACGCAGCGGTTCGAGACAAGGCTGTCTTTGCACCATCATGTTGCCTTCATTGGTGGACTCTCCGGGTTGTCCAAGCACCACTGTCTTCCACTCCAGGGCTTTCCTACTGCTTCTTCCTTGCCATGAAAAGACAGTTAAGGAAGAGAAGATGGAAGAGCTGTACAGCGTAGTTGAACTGACAGTGCAGGGACCGTCCATCTGGAAGCACCCATCTTGCAGTGTTCCTCCCTATTCTGGCTGCCTAGCAACACATAGCCAGCTTCTCCACATATACCTATCCATTTTTCTAGTTCTTACATTACAACTTAAGTTGGATGACATTTCACAGACAAAAAAATTGTTCTGCGTAATAGAGAACAGACTTTTCAAAAAATACTTATAAAAGTAAATACAAAAGCTTTAATAAAGTAACCTAGGGAAATTGCAAAGAATAACCTAATTGTAGCTAATAGCTGGCAATGTTAAAGATCGTGAATGATTCAAATTACATATTAGCATATAAAAACCATGTAGGGTCTTTAAAAAGAGAGGACATGTTAGATAATAATGTGTTTTGTTTTAAACTGCTGGGCTTTAGAAAGGTCCCTGCTATTTCCATTTCTTTTCTCCCTGCTGCTCTAGGCAGTTGCACAAAACCTGTTAGAACTGTCTTAGTCAACAGAGAAATGAGGTCTCTTTACAACTTTGTCTCTTGACAAATGAGTTAAAGTAATAGAAAATCTTCAGGTTTTTGTATGAGCTGCAGATTTTTAATCATAATCATAATACTTGTATGTGTGTTTTAGATATAGATAAAATGCGAATGTCTCCCTTGACGACTTGCTCATTTTAACAAATTTGACTGTAGTAGAGCTACAGCTGTCTTCTGCTGTAAGAAACACAACAGGAATTTCATATGATCATTAGAGTATTTAGTCATTTATAATGAAGATGGATGCTCCAATCAATCCAGAAAAATCTAAGTGAAGCAGAAGGCTTGATGTCTGCTGTCGCGAATGGCTGCCCCTTCAGGATTATGGGACATAATCCACAGAGATGCCCCAGGGCTGGAGGTGGCCATGGTTTTTCCACATGGCACCATGTTGTATACCTACCCCAGCTGCTGTGTATGTAGAAATGAATATCTAACTGCGCTCTCAGTTAGGGCCAAACTACATATGAC